AACAAATTTGCTTATGATAAAAAAAAATATATATATATATATAAATACCTTCCAGCTTTAACATGAAACATAGAAAAATACTCGGAAAATCAGTAAGTGTGAAATGATTTCCATTTACCCTAAAATGTAACACTCATATCTATGTCTATGTATAGATAGATAATCGATGTGGAAGTTATTTACAAAAAAAAAAATTGTTTTAGTCACAATTTTGTGTTTTTAGTTGATATATATATCATTGATTAATCGAGCGCATGTTACCTATGCATAAAGCTCTATGTTCTACTTAGCAGGACAGATTCACATACAGTATTACAAACATACATTCTATAGCATATCCAGGTGGGGATCAATGAAAAGATTCAACCCTTTTGAAAAATTAAATATAAAATATTAATATTAATAATGAGGTACGTTATGTTTTTTATATTATAATTTTTGTTTAGGCTGCTCTGTTCTTATGACTGCGATGGAAATAGAAATTAATGAAAAAATTAAGTAAATTAATTTTTATTTGCATCTCAGTCACAAGACCAGAGTATGACCAGTTTATGTATAAATATATATTATATTAAACATAAAAATATTTTATATTAATATAATCCTTCCTGGATACGTCACTGCATACATGTTACCAATAGATATGAATCCGACGCTGAAAAGCAGTGACATCATACATATGTTCAATATATGAACACTAAAATTATAGTATATGAACACAGAGAAGACTCATTTCGGATTCACTTTAACATTAAAATCAATAAAATAAAATAATCAAAAACTAAAACGTCATGAACAACGTTAAGTCCTAGCATATAAAATGAAACACTAAGTAAGAATACCTGTTGATAAACCTAGGCTTTAAGAAAGATTGCTTGATGTTTACTAATTCTAGAATACAAGATTACAAGAATACAAGATAGGAGAAAAAAGCTGCGGATAGAGTGATGGCACAAATAAGTTGAAAAATCGCTAGTCAACCCCGGTAAGTCGTAGAGTTTATGACCTAGTGATTTGTGGCTCACTTTTGTTACTTGTACTGAAGAAGAATCTTAAGGACCTCTAATTTCTATTTGTCTTGCAAAGAATTTTGTATTTATATTTTATATTTATATCTTGCAAAGAATTTTATAGATATATATATATGATTTTCATGTGAGTTGCCATCGCTGCCTTAGAACAAGATTAATTAATTCTAATATTTGGTGGGATCTCGTCTCTATAAGAATGAAGATATACTTATATATATATACTTATATATATACATACTTATATAATTATATATATAAGTTATTGTATAAAACAATATTCAAAAACGATATATTTGTATTTATATATAAATATATATTTAGCGAAGTTCATAGACTGTGTTTAGTCGAAGAACTGTGTTTAGTGATGAATTTAATTTCTGTTTAAATGGTTATGTCAATAAGCAATATTTCCGTATATAGAGCAAAGATAATCTTCAGGATGTTAAAGAATCACTATTACATGCATTAAAATTGACTGTTTGGTACGGTTAACATGCTGGCGGCATTACCTGGCCTTTTTTTTCGAAATGAGAAAGGAGCTGCCGTTACGATGAATGGCGAGCGCTATCGAGCCATGCTGACTGAATTTTTGTTTCCAAAAATTATTCAGTTAAATATCCACAACATTTGGTTCCAATTAAACGGCGCAACTTTCCATACAATGCGCTTCACAATCGATTTATTTCTAGAAGTGGTCCTATTATTCGTGCGACTTAACGCCTGTCGATTACTTTTTAAGGAGCTGTGTTAAGTCAAATTATGGAACTTATGCCGATAAAACAGCAACTTTTAAAGTATCGGAAGCTAATGTTCATGTCACCATTGATACCGTTCGTACATTTATTGATAAAAATAGTTAATTGAACTGATCGAATGGATTATGTAACTTATAGCCGAGGTGGATAATGGATGAATTCATATTAAAAAAATAAGTGCCATTAAATTATCTACCAGATTATGATAAATCAATATATAAATGTACAATAATTTAAATATATATTTAAATCTATATATGTATATGTGTAAAAATGGATCTATTCTTATCGTTATAGAGGTAACACCCCAGCAAATATCAAGAAAGGTAATCTTGTCATAAAGCAGCTATGACAACTCATAAGAAACTCATTATCTTTTCATACGAAAAAGTCTATTACCAATTTTCTAAAAGAACTTTATTTCTATCTGTAAGATGTGTCTAAAATATATTTATTGGTAATTTTTTGAGATGTGGAGCAGCTCTTGACCTCATCATCTCCGACATTGATGAAATTTTTTTATAAATGCGTTTTTGAAAATATAAATATAATAATCTCTATCTATGTTAATAATTTCAAACCTATATATTATATGCAATCTTAAAAAATTCTAATTATTTGATTTAAAAACCTAAAAACAAAATAAATTAATATAATATATTAAAAGTGTTTATATATGTAAATATGTATATATCTGTTGTCAGCCTAAATCCTTCATGCTTTGCAGTTTAAGAACTAATTTCACTTGTAATATTATAATGACTTATTGTTCATTTGTATATATGTATGTATATATATAAATATATATTTAAATAAATAAATAAAAAAAACAAAAATTGTATACAAAATAAAACAATGGGTGGGATTTTTAACAATTCATAAAAAACTCGCAGGCAAAGGACTTTTTGCGTAAAATTGCATATTTTATTTTATGTATGAAGAGAAAGCATTTTAACGCTTTTGTTTCAAAAATTCTAAAGATTTGCACACTCAAGAGTGCAATTATTTATAATTTATTGTTTTATTGCTGTAATGTGGACAAAACATGTCAACAAAAAAAAAAAATAAATAAATATATGAGTAAGACTATAATCCATATAATGTACATAGTATTGTGTTTTAATTCATTACAGAAGAATTTAAACTGATTTTTAAATCTACTAAAAATCATTAAAAAATTTATTTTATTAAATTTTATATATTCATTCTTTAATGTAGTAATTTATTTTTATTATTCGAAATAGAGTTATATCCCTGTTGGAATTTAAATTTCTCTCATAATATGACTGTAGATGTTATATATACCATATTTTCGTGATCCTCAAAATATCGTTTTCAATTATCTCCACCATCAGGTTCATCCTTACAGTTATGGTAAGGTATTCTTCTTCAGCAGAACAGAGTTGAGATTGCTGGTGGAATATTTAACAGGTCTCCATGGACTGCGTTATCACCTTAATAAAATGAGTCTGTCCGAAGAGATGGAGTGTCGACTCTGCTTAGAAGCAGACGAAACTTCCAGTCACTACCCAGCCTTGATCTGGGCCAGGAGGAGGTCACTGGATGGAGAGCTGCACTCCGCTTCTGACATTAGGAGGTCCTCAAGGGCCACCAGTCTGGCCTTCATTCGGAAGAAGGAATGTCTTCTTTTCGGTTTTCTTGCTCCGCCCCTATCATTCCTATTCCTATCTCCACCATTAAAAATTTGTACTTAAATAAGCCCAGAACCATTTTCGTAACCGAAATAAGTAGTATTTGCATTTTTAAAGTGTGGGTTTTATTTTATAGTTATGTTATAGTTATAGTTATGTTATAGTTCAGACTATACTTGCCTAAATAAACATATGAAGAGAATGCTTCTACACCTTGTATTTACAAAATTTCATATTTTTACCATTTCTAAGTATTAATATGAATACTCTAATTTATTTTAAAATATATTATTTATCAAAAACATAGTATTATAAATTTACATATATATATGCACGCGTCTGAATTAATTCTGGACACATTTTTTTATAAGCGAGTTTTTATATAGCTCTCAGAATCATCCTCGAATTTTTTTTATTAGTTCCCGGCTGCTGAAACACATCCCCAGAGCGGTTTCTTGGCTCATTCAAATAGGAAGAATGATCGATCGTACTGTTCGATTACGTTCGTATTTATTCTTGCTCAAAAACTCCCGTATAAGGATGGCAATAGGCGAAGTTGCGATATCATTAACTATTTGTAAAAGTAAATAAATCTTGGAATAAAGCATTAAAAATGTAAACAACAGATTCATATATATGTTATAAAGACACAATATTCACTTCAAACTAAACTAATTACCAGCCAAACTACAAAATAGATTTTTTAATATATCTTTAGTCGAGTGACTTCGATATCTCCAAAAAGAATTTGTTTTTCAATGTACTCTTTGCAGATGTGTGTTAATCTGCCAACCTTTGTATTAGCTGTATTCGCTAAGCTCTAGGAGGTCTAGTAAACCCTGTTATCAAAACTCTTACTTTAAGGGTATCTCAATGGAAGTAGTTGTACCAGAGTGTTGAGCTCCGCATCTATATGCGCCTCATTAACTTGTTAAATTTCTTACCACCCATTTTTCATCCATATTTTATTAATTAATTTTGTTAAGACAACACTTCTTTTTTACAAAACGCAATCTTTTCTTATCTTTATTTACCTTTGTTTTTTGTCAAGGTTCTCCATTCACCTTTTATTATTAACATTGTACTTTTATCTTGTTTCATTTCTGTTTATGAGGATGAAACAATGAATAAGCGGGATTAAAATGCTTATATATCATAAGTACTCGTCTTTGTAGTCCGCAGTCTGTATGGAACCCTTCAGCTGACAAACTTACTATAATACCAATATTTTCAAGGACTACTTATAAGAAACTCTGGTAATATCCGAAACAGCGGTGTGGTCAACCAAAAATTATTTAAAATAAACTTCTTCGTCTTTGCTTGAGTTAACGTCTAAAGCACTTTCACTGATTAGTGCCTATGAACACTTGGATGATCGATTCACTGTAATAAGAGTTCCATTAAGTTTTGTTAAGTTTATTTACTTATTTGTTTTCACTAATAGTTTCTGTTTCATTTTTGGGTTTAACCGATTTAATCAAAATCTAGTATGTCAGAATATGTCAAATTATAAAAATTATTTTGACAATCATTTACTTCATGTTTTAAAATACTTATAACAGAAATACATGGAAATGTAGATTCTAGACGGTGTTCAGTGCTAAGACTTATATTCTCAAAATTTCTTATGGTATTCTAAATGTACAAAATTTATATTTTATACTAACAAATTGTTGTTGTGAAAATTTTTCGAAACATACATAATGGCGACTACCTATAGAGCTGACTATATTCCGCACTGTATTCCTGATCCAAATCCCAAACCTATCGAGGAGGTAAAAGTAGAAGAACCAAAGCCAAAAACTAAGATTTACAAGATATTTGGAGAAAGACAAGATTGTCTTAATGAATATCCTTACCGTTACCTAGACTCTGTAATCACTGCGTATCCTGATGTGGTAGATGTAATAAGACGTTTGCCTAAAACAGAGCTTTGTAGGCGTATAGACAGACAAGTATTATTAACCAACTATAATCTTGACTATAATAAGCACAAAGAGTACCCACTAGGTATATATGAGACAATGAAAAACGCAATAGCCACTGGTGCACGTACTCTACCATGCAGAAAACGTAAGCATATCTTAGTTCAATTAGAGGATTTAAGAAACGAAATGAACACGACTTGTGCCAAAGCTTACAGAAGAGCAGAGTGCTTCGGTTGTTATAGGGGCCAAGATAGCGAACATAGAAAATTAAAAGATGGACGGATTTCTGAATATGCTGCAAGTATAAGCCGAACTGGTTGCGTAATAAAGAAGAATAAATTGCACGATCATAAGAAATGCTATAGGTCTACTTGTATACATGAACTACGCTACCCTTGTGCTAAATATGTTTAGGTTCACATGTGTGGTATTCAATTATGTAGATATAGTACCACAATCGAATGAACATTGAAGAAACCATTTCAGGTGTGCTACTTAATGTTAATTTTTTATTTATTTAACCAGTAATAAAATTACATATATATTTAAGGAACAACATTTAGATGAAAGCCAAATCGTAATATAAATCTTTAATCCTGCACTGTTTTTGATGTTTGACGATTTCGATCCATGTACATTAAATTTAAAAATTTTTCTAAATAAAATACCCTCAAAAAACGTCTTAGATACTATTCTGTCCTGGTTTCTAAAGCGTATTGTAATGCATTTTTAGTATAGAGTAACTAAAATATAAGGCAGTATTGAATGAATAGTACGCTTAGAGTGTCCATGAAAGACTAATCACTGTTGACTTGTCCGCATAAACCAATGGCTTTGAAGACAAACCCTATCGGCAGGAATTAATATCTAAGAGGTTATGCTAAAGCTTAATTTTTTTAAGCAATGCAGATATTGAACATTTCATTAATAACTTCTTCACTTCACTGATAATATGACATAGTCCCGTTGACCCCAAAAACTTTGCAGAAAACGTAAAACCACATATTCAAAAGTAAATCGGTATTCTAATTAACTTTATTTTTCAACAAGTAGGGTCTATTTATGCCATATCAGTCACCAGTCATACAAAACTAACAAACAGTGATTGCTTGAGGGTATATCTTTAGCTAGTGAGTTTTCTATGGATCTTTGTACGAAATATGGAAATTTTTTTACTAACGAAACTATTGAGTCAACTTTTACCTTAAAACCTCATTGTATAAGCACCCTGTATACATTTTTAGTGAACATTGATTTTGGACTCACACTGAAGGATTATGATTTTTCTTATAAACATATCTATTGTGTAGTACAAGCTTAGGGTTTGCATTTCAATAATTGGAATAGTGTAGTGCCCTTTATAAATTGAGATATTGGGGCGCTCTTTGTAAGCTGGCCTTTAAATCCCTATGTGTTACTTGTCAAGTCAGTAACTCAAGTTGATAGTAAGGTCTCTTCAATTCAAAAGTAACACATTCAGCACTCGCTACAAGGACCAAGAAATGTGATGAGGAATTTAACAGATCATTTAGATGTTAAAAATATTTTTTTTATAATAAAATTTTAAACTATTTCTACAAAATTATTTTTCCGCGAAGGTATGTGATGAGCGACTAT